CTGTTGCAGTATTTCAAAACCATACTGCACTTGCTGTCCCAACATCCCGAATTGTGTAGTGAGGAACTGTTGACCCAGAGTTCAATTCCTCTTAGCCTTTAAGACCATTTTAACTTAAATTTTAAGATAGCACAGAATAATGGAATATTCTTAAATTCAGTCCTAACTTCCAAGATGGTTTTCTACAGTTCTTGAAATGAAATCGCCATTGAAATTAAGATTGAATTTTAGAATTTTCCACACTTCTATTCGATTTTAAATTAAAATAAGCTCACAGATGAAGACAAGGTGGAATGTCAATTTTGTTTTAACAATGTGGTCCAGTTTTAGTTTGCAAGAGCTGGTTTACAATCAGTCTTTAAGTTTAAAGTAAAACAATCCCCCAAATAAAATTGGTGCAGCCAATTTGCAGATCGTAATGTCCCACAAACAGTTAGGGAGTGAGTGAACAATTTTTTATTTGTGGGATTGTTAGCTGCAACATTGGGATAAACTTTATTTACTTAGAGTGTAATTAATGATTGGAACATTACCAGGATGCTGGACTTTTTAAAAAAAAACAGTTTGATGCTGTGATGGGGGGACAACAAGATGGTTATTTAGAAAGGATGAGATCAGGTGGGCCAAAACCTCTTTGTCATCCTAACGGATCTTTGTCAAGTTAGCTTGAATGAACTAATTGAAAATTGTAGCTTTTAGCACTTTTGCAGTCAGATTTTTGAACGACAAAGTTGCATTTTGAGGGCCTAGAAATTCAGTATTCAACATTATTTCTCTCCCCACCAACCCACAGGAGCTGACAGCTTTCCAGTATATCAGATAAGTTGCCATTTTTCACATAAGACCAGGAAGGATATGTCAGGACAAAACACAAAATACTGAAATCTGAAACAGAAACAGAAACAGAAGTCACTGGGAACACTCAACAGGTCAGGCGAAAGGAAAGCGAGTCAACGTTTTGGGTCCATGACCTTTCATCAGAACTGAAGTTCTGGAGTTCTGACGAAGAGTCGTGGACATGTCAGGAGCCTATTAATCCATGGGGAGCATGAAAGCTGTTCCAGTTCTCCTTCATGAATGCACTATAGTGAATGAGACCCTGAATGAGACACCAAATGAGATATTTTAATATAAAGCCACTCTTTTCAGAAAGCTATTTGTAGTGCCATTGTTTAACATTTTGTCAAGTTAACAAGTTTTGAAAATCTTAAGGCACTACTTAAAATGCTTTATCCAGGTTTTCAAATGAAACGTTACAGCATGCATTGGTTGAAACGCATCTTGTATACATGAATTTGAGATGTCTGTTCAGCGTGCTATATGGTGTTATATGTCTGTCAATTGAGATGGATAGATGTCTGTGCGGTAATCTGACTTAAGTTGTATGTCTGCCACAGCGGGAGACCTGGTATTTGACAATTGCACCAACTGTGCTTGTGTTTGGAAGTGATGGCAGAATTGCTGTTGGACGATATAGATTTAAATATCTCTGACTTGTACATATTGCAGTATTTAGCAGCTGTAAGCACTAAACCAGTGGCCTAAGAACTGTATAACTTACAGATTTTGTAGAAGCCTCTGAATTCTACGTAAGAATGTTAGATTTCACGAGGGGTAGAGACCCAGAGTGTTAGTGTCAGAAAGACTATAGCACCAGAAAAACAATGTTTACTCTTTTGATTATTGACCTGCATAAATCGTTAAACAAGAGGAAGACATGTTGCTTTGTACAGTTGAAGGCTGTGATCAGTGACAACAATACTTGTTTATCAGCATCTTATGTAGACTAGGTGGCTCAGTGTAGTCAGCTGGTTGTGTTTTTCCTGTGCAGTGCTGATTTGATGCCTTATGGCACCCAGTTAACCGGCTGTCCTTTTTGGTGCAAGGTATTTGAACTCTGAGGGATTCTGACTGCTGCACAGGCATCTCATCTGAATTATAAAGCAATGTTGAACTGCAGTGTTCTGGGCATATGTTTACTAGGATCTGCTCAAGTGTTGCCTCTGAAGGTTGTCTGCTTGAATGCCTCTGCCTTGCCTGTCTTCAGAATGCACCTGATCATTTTACTCTTCAACCATGTCCATGGTCACCTCCCCTTTCTCCTCGGCTTGGCAGCAAACAATACCATTGTACAGTGCTCAAAGTCGCTACCCTGCATGAAGGGCAGTATATAGTACAAGTTGTTGGTTGGCATTAGAGGATTCTTCCGATTAGACCTTTCCAATTTAACAGGCTTTTAAATGGTCTTTTTGCAGGAACCTCAGAGAATATGCTTTTAAAATGTGATTCATTACTGTAACAGGAAGTTGTAGACACCCTGCTCTGATTCAGGCTAAACCAATATTTACTAACTGGGAGTTTGGTTTATTGGAGGTTTAAACTAAACTTGTGTTTGAACTTAGCGATTTATAATATCTTAGTTGTCAGATTAAATGCCGTTCCCCATATAATAAAAGAGCTGCGATACTTTAACATGTCTCCATTTATTTTAGTTCTTGCCATGTATACTGAGATGTTGTGACCGACACTGAAGTTTTCAGCCACAATCAAGCTCCTCTTTAGCTGGTTACCAGAAGCAGGTAGTCAAGGAAACCTAGTAGAGAGAAACTGTCTATTATTTCCTCCCTCTCCCTCAGGCAAACGCTTGTCAAATCACCAGCACTTTGCCATGTAGTACTGATGAGGACAGTAGCTCTGTAGCTTAGGACCTCAGACCTATGCTCTCCCCACTCTGGTGCACTGCTCTTCAATCTTACAATATGCAATGACTCCCTGCTGTTTATTTCAATGGGTAACTCGAGCACGTAAAATTTCCACATGCCCTTCAAGTAAGTTCTCTGATGTTGGCCACCGAATCCATGCAAGCAGTACTTAGTAACCTATTATTTGACACCTCGCCCTTCTTGTAGGGAAGTGCTGCCAAGTTAAGAATATGGTGAACTCTAGAGTTTAATTTCTTTTGTAAACAATCGAGTCAGACAAACAGTGACACACGGTTCAAGAACATAGATTTATTATCAGTAGATACACTCCCTATTGCTATATTGTCTCAGAACAGTGCAGCCGCCTGGGTTTGTGGTCAGTGTCCTGTAACCCCACCCCCCCCACCCACGCACCACTCCCCAGGTCGATACTCTATAATAAAAAAAACTTTGCATTTGATAAAGCGCCTTATCACATCTTCGAGACGTCTCAAAGCGCTTCACAGAATATACTGTAAAGTGAATTGACTATATTTGTGGGTGACCAATTTACTTATTTATTATTCTAATTTTTGAAAGAATTATTACCTCCGGAAAAGCGATCTACTAATCGATTAACAATCAGGTTCCTACTTACTGCTAGGTAAACAGAGGCGTGTGGAATAATAATAATAATAATCCTTGCATTTGATATAGCGCTTTTCACGTCTTCTAGACATCCCAAAGTGCTTCACAGAGTATACTGTAAAGTGAATTGACTGTATATTTGTGGGCGAACGCGGCAGCCAATTGCACACAGCAGTGTCCCACAAGTAGTCGTAGATTGAAAATGACCAATTTATTATTTTTTTTGTTTTTTGGAGGGATTATTATTAGGCGTGTGGAGTAAGGAAACTTGCCCAAGGTTTCGCCCTCTGCCTGGAATTGAACTCAGGTCTCTCGCTTGCAAAGTGAGTGCTCTAACCACTGAGCTACAGGACTCTGCCATGTTGTCCAACTTCCTATCCAGGCATTTGCCTTCGGCATTGGGCCCTCTTGGGTCAGAATCTCTTTCCTGGAGCTCTAGAGTGGGGGGTGTGGGAGAGTGAGAGAGAGATTGTGTGCTTGAGCTTTTATATGTCACAGGATCTGCTAGTACAAATCATAGCTGCCTTCTATACTGAATCCCTTCTAATTGGGTTTATATGGACGAAACATTGCTTGAAAATAATCAGTCATATTGGGAGAAGAAATTTGATGGAAATTTTAATGTTAAGTGCTGGGAACACAAGGAAATGAGTGTAGACCTTAAACTATTTGTCTGACTTTATTGTTCATGGTTATTGAAGGTTCTATCCAAGAATAAATGTTCATTAGCCATGTTAAATTATTGAAAAGCAGAACGTGGTTTCAGAGGTTAGTTTCACAAAAGGGTAGTACATAACCAACTTCGATTTCAGTTTCTTTCCCTGCAGTTTTATTAACTTGCTTGCTTGTATATAGGCCCTTTAATGTATGGTAATGCCTTGAAGCACTTTACAGATAAAAAGTAATGAATTCATGAATTGTTAGGGGGTTTCATATGACAAGGTTCATCAGCCAGGCCTCACGCAGGTGAGCAGACTAAAAGGTTAAGCCTTTTTCAGAATCATGAGATGACCTCAGGATAATAGCCGAAAAAAGACTGTTCACACTGTCCCCCTCCCATTTGAAATAATATCTCAAAAGCTTATTCTATGCCTTGTGAAATGTTACCGCTAGATAGGTTTTATACTGTTGAAAGATAAGATGGCTCTTGAATTCACTATTAGAAAGGACATTCGCAGTATTCCCTGAGGGAAGAGAACAATATCACCTGATAGGCTCTATTTAATCAACCTCGTGGGTCCCTGAGGGAGGTTTTAAACATCCAACACATTTTGAATAAGTATTTTCTTTGTGGCATTGATCTTGCAATCTTCAAAAAATGTCTGTACTCAGATTGTTTAATTATTAGGATTTGGCTGTAGGGAGACTGAAAGCAAAATGCACACAGATCCTTGTGCTTGCAATTTCCTCAACACCCAGCAGACCTGTTTTTTCAGAAGCCACCCGAATGCTGTTCAGTGGTTTTGAATGTAATTTTTGGAATATCCTTTCCAGTGTTGCTGAAGGATTCAGAGGAGGTTTGGACCTTCGTCTCGTCCTGCTCTGTGTGTACACTTGCTTGAGATGGGACAATGACACCTTACATTTTGACTAATTTTTGAATATGTGTTCTTTGCCATGATGAGCCATAACCTGATTTCTTTGTTGTGTAAAAACATCACTGAAGGGTGGCTGCAGCTGAAGAGCTTTACAGGTGTGTTTTGGAATGGAGGCTTCTTTCTTTGTTACGTTTGAGATCGAGTGACTCTGGTTTTAAGTAGCAGAGGAGTTGAATCACGTTTTTTTTAAAAATAGCTAAGTTAATGCTGTTTAACTTGCTGTGTGACTAGAGGATGACTTTTGTTAATGCTTTAAAATTCAAGTCATAAAATGGAGTGACATACAGCATTTATACAATTCCTAATTCTATTAATACTATACACCCCATCTGTTACTATGGAAAAAGTTGTTTTATGTATTGATCTATGCTTGATTGTGTGTTATCTACCATGCTGTTCATTTATCTTTATTAGGAGTGAACAATGTTAAACATTGTTGACTTAATTCTGTATGTTGTATTTTCTTTTGAAAAGAACTAATTCAAAAATCTATTTAAATGGAAAGCATTGCATTTAATTTCTACAAAAAATAACTTGCTTAATTTTCATTTACATTAAGTGCTTTGGAACAATGAATGTAATACCCTTGGGTTTGTGAATGTGAAGTAGAATGATAAATAAGGAGCTCAGTGCAATTGTAAAACAATGCCAAACTGTCCTGATCCTGTTTATTTGGTCCAGTTATCTTAGTGCTTGGATCATAGTAATTTTCTTAATTTCCTTTGGTCCTGGGTTTAGTTAGGCAATGTAGTCGAGCATTCATGCTGGGGTAATAGTTGGTTTGTTGTGAATAATTGTACATTTATAATAATGCTCATTAATCCTTACATTTTATTTAGCGCCTTTAATGTTGGGAGGATGTCTTAAAACACTTCACGGGATATGCTGTAAAGTGTAGTTAGTGACTGTAATTGTAGGTGAACGGGGCAGCCAATTTAGCACACGGCAATGAATGTGCCACAAATATGCAAACAGAATGTTGAGTGCTATTGGCAGAGCGAGATGAGGTCTGTGTGTAACTATCGCTCTCTTGGGCGTATAATGGTACAGACTTGAAGTTTCGAATTTACCCAACATGATCTGTTGTCTTCACGCAATGATTTTTTTCTCCTGTCTTTGACTGTGAAAAATAGATCTTAGAAAACACAGATTTTTATTTTGTAGATTAAAATCTGACTGTTTTGGTACTCAATCGCAATACAGCTTTGAATTGTGAGCCCATTTGAGTCTTTTCAGTGGGGACTCGATCATTTTACAAAATAGATTGCGAGAAAATAGAATGCCTTCACCATGGGTCAAAAAGGCAGAGATGTCTCAAAGTGAGATTGATAGATACTTGAAGTCAAAAAAAGACTGAGAAATGGAATAAAAGTATAATTAAAATAAAAGCTAAAATGGCAAAATACAATGCAATTCACATTTATACAATGGGAGGACGTCTCAAAGCAATTCACACAGGTGATTTGGAGAAATTGCGGAAACTGACTGACGAGGCTCGACAAGCTAAATGTCTGCCTGCGATGAATTTAGTTACTAATTTTTGAATAATATAAATTTTGAATTTCGGGTTGATATGCGTTCACAAAGGTTTCAATTCTTACCATCTGTGCTGAATTGAAAGCTCGGGGCCCCCTTAAGAGAAATATTCCATTGAAAAGGTTTGGAAATGTTTTCCAGGTTCTGGTCCATTCTGGACATGTATGACGTGAAATTGGAGCAAGTATGCATACTGGAGCTGTTGGCAGCTAATGTATGAAAGTGCATCCATGCATCAATCTGGCATATCGTGCTAATGAATGGTTTTGTGAAGGTGATTTTTTTAAAAAGCAGTTTTCTGTGTACCTGTTCGGACTCGCTGGCAGCAAGTGTTTGAAGCACTGTCGTTTGGGAATGATGTGTCCATTCGATTGTCAGGTCTGTCTGTTCCCAGCATCACTCTGTGAAGCTAAGTGCCTGTCTGCTCTGTGGTGAAAATTGTTCGATACGGTTGATTTTTTGTCTCTGGGTTTTCACACTGTACTACCATTCATTGCATGCGTGGATATTAAAATTCCCTGAAAACGATTTAATGTAATTGGTCTAAAAGCATATTCTGATTCTGACCAATTTTTCTATTAAACTAAATTCTATTACATTCTTACTAGGTCACTGAGCTTCATTGTTTTCTACCAATCTATGGCTACTAATTCTATTTTTAAGCATTTGAGAGACTCTTTATTAGATATAATCCACACTGCATCAATACACAGTGCAAAATATGTGGTTTCTTCCAGAATGCTATCTCTGTTCAATTGCTGTGTTTTTCTTTAAAGCCAAGCTGTAGGATACATGTGTGTAAACGTGTAGACCATAAGCACTTTAAAATAAAATAGCTGGAGACTGTTGTTTACCTAACTGAAAGCTTGGATACAATAAATCCTGAGTGAATGTTTGAGGATTATTACTTTGGCTATTTTAGGACAGTCAAGTATCTGACACTTGCAGAAACTCGTTGCCATCCAGCTAAACAATAATGAGTTCCACATTTACATGCACATTTGCATGAAGAAACAGAATTGTTCAACTGTATACTAACTATACTTTAGACTCATTTGCTTTTAAAGAGCTGTACACCAGCTCATGAGAAAGCAAGCTCAGTGTCAACTGTGTTCATACTGTTGAGTATGATGCATAGAGCTCATTGAACAACCTCCTTTAGGTCATATCAGGAACAAAACTCCAGTGTGATTCATGCTGACTTAACGTCCGTTTCAAATGCACATCTGACTATGATGTTGCCGTGTAAATTGCAGGAATTCACTGCAAAACTCTCTGTACAGAAAAATGGTATGTATATATTTCGATGGGGAGGAGCAGCCCTTAAATTATTTGATTAATGTGTATTTCTACATACCTAAGTGACATTAAGGGAAATGAAGAAAAGTCAAGTGATTGATTGGTTCAAACTGTTCAGAGGCAGAAAGAGTTTGTATTCCACTTAATGCTCCTATCTAGTCTCAAATCATGCAGTCCATTTGATAGGAGATGCTTAACTATAAGCAAATTGTACTTCAAAACCCATGTATAATGACATGGATTATGAATATAACATTAGTTTTGTAGAATGAAGGACAACTTGTGTCTTGCTGGTAGATTATATTTACTAATCTACGAATGGCAGGTTACCTTTTAGAGCTGTGGGTTTCCTTTTTTTAATGTAGTTTATCTTCTGATTTATGAAGGGTAAATGGTATAGGATTAAATTTACTGGTCAGCCATTGCCAGCACCAATCCAGACCTTAATCAATATTAAAGTGTGCGGGTACTTCAGCAGAACCTTGATGGTTCTTGCCTGGGAAGCTCTCAAGCTCTATTTTGTGGGTAAAATGCAATAAGCAGTCAAAGGTTTTGCCCACAAAATGTACAGTCAATCCACTTTACAGTATATTCTGTGAAGCACTTTGAGACATCTCCAAGACTTGATAAGGACCTATATCAAATGCAAGGATTATTATTATTGTTATATTGTGAGCTTTAGAGCATTCCAATTAGAGCTCAACATGTGCTTTCCTGATATTGACCTGAGCTCCATTCTCTTCCTGTCAGATGGGTTTTGCCGTATGATTTACAGTTCCAGAATTTGTGCCATCTCAGAATCCTGCCTCAGTTTGTAACACTCTCACCTGTAAGTCAGGAGGTTGTGAATTGGAAAAATTGTGCAGTGGTGTATGCTGAAGGGGAAGTCAGATTTCCTATGCCCCCTTGGCTCAACTGACTTGATTCATTAAGTTAGATCAGCTCTGAATTATTTGGACCCTTGCATGCCAGGGATAGTTTTTCAGGTAATGAGTGCCTTTCTGAAGCTGTGTTGTTGCTGCATCAAAAGCAGTTTGAGCATGCTTCTCAGTTGGTGACGAATATTGAAATACATACCCAGCAGCAAGCTGGAGATATGACTTAAATCTTGCTAGTGACTCATGTGTTTGTGCTTTTACAATTACAGTAGAGGATATATTTGAAATATTGTAGAAGGTGAATTGTGTTACGGAGTAGCCATCTTTGAGTCCATTGGTCTCTATGGATTTGAGCTGTATTAAATGCAGAAGCCAGAGATGGGCATTACCTCCATTCTGTCAGTAAAGCTACAGCATTCTCTGTTGTACAGATATATGATTTGTGAAGCATCAGTCTTTCTACTGATGAGAATAATGAGGATTTGTTGTGACTCCTTACCCATTGAACGCTTTCTGAAATCTTTGCTTCAACAAAATTCAAGTGTTCACCTTGCACAGGAGGTGAACATGTCATGCAAAAGAGCTGTGTGGTCTTGCAGTTAGAGGTGGTTAGGCAACAGCATGGGTATTGTGATAATATAACAAGTATAATACTTGGCTGCGATGCCTAGGTTAATTTGGTTTTGCGCTTGCAGTTATCTCAGATCATCCTACCCAAGGGAGGGAATATTTTGACTTCATATGGGAAACTGGCACACACCACAGACGTATCAAAATACATTGCTTGTTTCATTATCGGAAGCCATGGACTTTGGGATGATGAACCAACAGACAGGTCAGGAGATTGTGTGTCAGCCTGACTCAATGGTAGTGTTCTTTCCTCTGAGGTGGCTGTGGATTGAAGCCCCACATCGGGCCTTGAACACAAAGTCTAAGTTGCCACTCCAGTGCAGTGCTGGGGGTTTGCTATATTGTTAGAAGTACCATCTTTTGGATAAGATGTTAAACCAAGGTCCCTTCTGCCTGTTCAGGTGGATGTTGAAGATCCCATGGCATTATTCAAAAAGAGAAGGGAGTTTCTCCTGGTGTCCTGACCAACAATCCCCCAATTAAGATAAGTGATTTACTTCAAGGTTGTTTGTGGGACATTGCTTTGTGCAAATTGGCCACTGTGTTCACCCAGAAATAGTCACTCCACTTCACAGTAAATCCTTTGAAGTGCTTTGGGATGTCCTCCCAACATGAAAGCTCTATACCAAATGCAAAGATTATTTGTTTACACAGAAGGTTTGTTGGATGTAGAATGCTGACCTTGAACTGTGGAAATATGGGCTTTTAAAAGGCTGTAAGATGAATATCTGAAAAAGGTGATTTTTAAAAGA